ATTTTCAGGGGGAGGGCTTATTTTAGTGCATGCACTCAAAAGCCCAATTGGGTTTATTATCCGGGGAGGTCTTATTTTCAAGGAAACAGGGTACTTTTTAGGCTATATATGTCTACAACTTTAAAAGTAAAAAATGTGTTGAATTCATTCATTCTGCCTCCATTGAATTTCTTAATATAACTTTGAGGCAGAGGATGTAGTTTTAATGAAAATCCTCAGATGCTTAAGATAAAAACTAACAAAATCAATGGCATCATCTTGCAGGAGCTATTTCAAGAATTTTGTTTCAATGTACAGATTTCTTTGAACGCAGATACCTTAAAAAATAAAATATTGCAGCAAGTCATTTACATATTTATTTTATTGCTTTTAGGATTCTAAAGAAGCCTAAGAAATGTTGCTTGAGATAGCTTGTTACTAAGAATAGAAGTATACATGCTGAGTAGATATTTCTTTAAATTACCCTAAATAAACATTCTGAAACAGTCATTCATTTAGAATATTTTTATCCCAACTTTTAATTCAATACTCTCAAGTACAAGACTTTACAAAAATAAATAGTATGTGGGGCTATTTAAAAACTGTTTAGGAATCCACCTGAAATTATCAGAGTATGACAGAGCATATTTATGTGGCTTTTGGCTTTGGCACTGTAGCTTATTCAAAAATTATCAGTTTCCTTAGCATCATTTGCAAACCTGGCTAATGTCAGTGCATTTATATTAGAGAATCATGGTTACACAATCCTTGTGATATCTAGCTATCCATTCCCATTAAGTATGGTTAAACATCATAGTCCTGATCAAATATAGGGCATAATACAGGAGTAAATTAAATATTCTTAATTCTGCACTTACTGTATATGTTAATTCTTACAATATAGCAATAGCAATAGCTGTTAGACTTATATACCGCTTCATAGGGCTTTCAGCCCTCTCTAAGAGGTTTCCAGAGTCAGCATATTGCCCCCAACAACAATCCGGGTCCTCATTTTACCCACCTCAGAAGGATGGAAGGCTGAGTCAACCCTGAACCGGTAAGATTTGAACAGCCGAACTGCAGAACTGCAGTCAGCTGAAGTAGCCTGCAGCCTTAACCACTGCGCCACCTCAGCTCTTACATACATTGAATTTAAAATTATTTGAGGGGTCCTGGTGCTCTCTCAATTTGGTTGTTTGCTTGCAGACATTTCATTACCCAAATTAGTATTATCAGTACTAGTGGGGAGTGGGATTTGTTCTCAATTCTACAAGTAAACAACTAAATTCAGAGAGCACCAAGGATCCCTCATTTCAACCCTGAGCTACAAAAATTCTTCTCTATTCTTATTCTATTGCTTTGGTATCCAAAAACAAGAGTGTTAGAGAAACAGTTAGGCTCGTCCCTCTTTTAAGAAAACATCTGGGGCAAAAAAGTCATATCAACAATTCTTATCTAATATTGTAACACAGTTACAGGTGAAACTCGAAAAATTAGAATATCGTGCAAAAGTTCATTTATTTCAGTAATGCAACTTAAAAGGTGAAACTAATATATGAGATAGACTAATTACATGCAAAGCAAGATAGTTCAAGCCGTGATTTGTCATAATTGTGATGATTATGGCTTACAGCTAATGAAAACCCCAAATCTACAATCTCAGAAAATTAGAATATTACATGCAATCAATAAAACAAGGATTGTGTGCATTGTACATAGAACAATATCGGACCTCTGAAAAGTATAAGCATGCATATGTACTCAGCACTTGGTTTCGACCACTTTTGCAGCAATTACTGCCTCAATGCGGTGTGGCATGGCAGCTATCAGCCTGTGGCACTGCTGAGGTGTTATGGAAGACCAGGATGCTTCAATAGCGGCCTTCAGCTCTTCTGCATTGTTCGGTCTCATGTCTCTCATCTTTCTCTTGGCAATGCCCCATAGATTCTCTCTGGGGTTCAGTCAGGCGAGTTTGCTGATCAATCAAGCACAGTAACCCCACAGTCATTGAACCAGGTTTTGGTGCTTTTGACAGTGTGGGCAGGTGCCAAGTTCTGCTGGAAAATGAAGTCAACATCCCCATAAAGCTCGTCTGCGGAAGGAAGCATGAAGTGCTCCAAAATCTCCTGGTAGACAGCTGCATTGACCCTGGACTTAATGAAGCACTGTGGACTAACACCAGCAGATGACATGGTTCCCCAAATCAACAAAGACTGTGGAAACTTCACACTGAACTTCATCATCTTTCAGTGTGTGCCTCTCCATTCTTCCTCCATACTCTGGGTCCTTGGTTTCCAAATGAGATGCAAAAGTTGCTCTCATCAGAAAAGAGGACTTTGGACCACTGAGCAATAGACCAGGTCTGTTTTTCTTTAGCCCAGGTAAGATGCTTCTGACGTTGTTTGTTGTTCAGGAGCGGCTTGACAAAAGGAATATGACATTTGAAGCCCATATCCAGGATCCATCTGTGTGTGGTGGCTCTTAATGCACTGACTCCAGCCTCAGTCCACTCCTTGTGAAAGTCCCCAACACTTTTGAATAGCCTTTTCCTGACAATCCTCTCCAGGCTGCGGTCATCCCTGCTGCTTGTGCACCTTTTTCTTCCACACTTTTCCCTTCCACATAACTTTCTATTAATGTGTTTGATGCAGCACCTTGGGAACATCCAACTTCTTTTGCAATTACCTTTTGAGGCTTTCCCTCCTTATGGAGGGTGTCAATGATGGTTTTCTGCACAACTGTCAAATCGGCAGTCTTTCCCATGATTGTGATTCCTACTGAACCAGACTGAGAGACCATTTAAAGGCTCAGAAATCCTTTGCAGGTGTTATGGCTTAATTAACTGATTAGAATGGGACACTTTGAGCCTAGAATATTGCACCTTTTCACAATATTCTAATTTTCTGAGATTGTGGATTTGGGGTTTTCATGAGCTGTAAGCCATAATCATCACCATTATGACAAATCACGGCTTGAACTATCTTGCTTTGCATGTAATGAGTCTATCTCATATATTAGTTTCACCTTTTAAGTTGCATTACTGAAATAAATGGATTTTTGTATATTTTTATTATTTTTTTATTAACAAACATGTAAAATACACACACACAAAACTTAAGACGTACACCACATTTACACAATACAATACGAACAGGAGCTTCCTGTTCTTTCCAATAGCAATTATCAATCGATACCTCTCACCTTATATTATTTCCCCTTCTTTTGTATTTCATTTGGATTTCACCATTCTTCACCCTCTTATTTTACCCATAACTATTATTTTTTGAGTTTTGTTATATTCCTTCATTGATTCTTGTTTCTTTCCTTCATTCACCTATACCATTTATCCCATATCTGATAGAATTCTAATTCTTATTTTCCCTGGATTTCTTTAGTTAGTTTGTCCATTTCAGCACAATCCATAACCTTTCTTATTATTTCATCTTCACTTGGAATTAATTTGTTTTTCCATATTTTTCGAGTTTCACCTGTACATCACTGCATGGGATTTATCATAAGATAGTCATTGAATAAAGGCTAGATACTTCTAAACACATCAAGCAAAGATACCAGTTTGAAATACTTTTATATAAAAACACTGACAAATTGTTTCACTGTGATAGTTAACCAACATTCAGAATAGCTATGTTGTTAGATACTTCATACCTGTGGCATTTGCTTTGTTTTCAGAATCCAAACTCATTTCATAGCACAGTGTTTTCAGGTTCTCTTTAATATTATTTTTTTTTCAGGGATACAGATGTACCTGATAGCTGACTTTCTGTTGTCTAGTTCCCTTGCTTGCAGGATTCCAAGTGAAATGTCACTGGCTGACCAATTAAACAATTATGACACAGACAGTTCACCCATCATGTAATGATGCACAGTATTATGTATTTTTGCTGCCTTACTTGTAAAATAATAAAGGGAGGATAGAAATTTAATAAATAAATATGGAAACTTTAGCCAGTTTCAAAGCTGTTTTTAAAGCTCATAGAATTCTTTATTGGCTAAGTGTGATTGGACACACAAGGAATTTGTCTTTGGTGCATATGCTCTCAAGTGTACATAAAAAGACGAGATACATTCACAAAAGGCAGCTTTTAAAGAGTGATGCCCATTGATGTGAAATTTTACAGATTCCTATAAAATCTTAAACTTGGCTTCTGCCAAGCCCAGTAATTTTCCTTGAATCTCCCTCCTTTATACAGCAACCAAAAATATAAAAATAAATTCATCTTCCTCCTAGCATTATTCCCAGAGGTGCAGGGTCCACTTTTTGAATTGATGAATGTCATCTTGTATATCAAATGTAGCATCCAGGTCCAACTGAACAGTTTTCATGTTTGAATTTCTTGTGTCTTGCCATCTTTGCTTCAGTTTCCATTGGGTGCTTGCCACCTGTGTTAAAATTGATGCAGGCAGAGGTGTGGGGAGGCTGCTCACAGGACATGGCCATATTACTGGCCATGTTTCTCCTGCATTTTCTCAGGTATTGGAGCAATGCCCATTGGCTCCCATACTGTGTCATTGGTGACATGGTCAAAAAGAGAAACACGTAATAACCAACAAAGCATGTGCATCTCTATGGCATGTAAAGAGCACTCAATGAATTTAGTGATTGGCCAGCATTCAGTGCCATAAAAAGCTACTGGGTGCCCCATTCTTTTAAAACATAAAAGTGAATTACTTTATTATAATGAAAGGTGACAGACAAATTTGAAAAGGGGCTTTATTGTTGTTGTGAAAATAGAAATACATTACCTTGATTTTGTTGTGGTGGTAACAAAAAACCTGTTTACATGTAAGTAAAAACATTGGTGGTTAGACTTGTTTAAACCACACATTGTCATTATTTTTACACTTCTGGGGTGTTAAATCAAAAGTATCTTTTCCAGTTAGCAACCAGAAGGAAATGGCCATCGTCCTTAACAAGAAGCAGTTCTTCCATTATGACAGCTTGAGTCCTTGAAGATTCTGTTTCACGTTAAGCAGCTCTTTCTCCTGCCTTGTCTTCTCTTGCTTGAAGGCCGACTTATTTGCTTTCTTTTCTATCCTGCGTTCCTAACGGGGAAATAATTTACAATATTAATGTACTGCTTCATGAAAATGTTCTCAAAGCAATTAGCATTGCAGATACAATTTCAACAATATCTGTCTCAGAACTCTTGGCAAAAGAGGCCTACTGCATTGAAAGGATGCTTAATTTTTCAGATGTTAATAATTCCTTTCATATTTTTTAAATTAGGGCACATATCTTCATTTTTTTTCTTTTCACTGCAATAACAGTAAAACAAACAAAACAAAAAACCCAGATTCCCCCCATACACACACACACACACACACACNCTTGACCCTTGAGGTCCAACTTCACCAGCAGAGTCTCACACCCGACAAGCTCCGGAGCAGGGACTCTACGAGGTACTAGAGACCAGTTTAACAGTTAGGGAGGGTTGTGTATCATAGAGAAAAACTGAGCCAGTGGCTATTTCTAATCTGTATGTATCAGGTTTATATCCCATTTGTTTATAACTTAATTATAGGTTTCATTTGCGGTTAGTGATTCCAAATGTTGTATTTAATTTTCTCTGAATTGTGATACAGATGCTGGGAAGATTTCAGGAATACATGACTTAGACCCACCCACCCTCACCCAATTTAAATATTAAGGGTTTGGGTTTTCCCTTCCCTAATATGTAGTTACTGGTAGTCCTTGATTAATGACCAAAATTGGGACCAGAATTTCTGTGGCTCAGCAAGACAATCATTAAGTGAATCAAGCTGGATTTTATCAACTTTTTTTTTGCCATGGTTGTTATGTGAATCACTACAGTGGTAAAATGAATCATAAGATTTTGAATCCTGATTCTGAATCAATAAACATGATTTTCCAGAGTTGGACTATATCAACACTCTCACATTTAGTATAGAATTATACACTTTGATGAACAAGTCTGTGCTTCACAAAGGCTTTTGTTTTGCTTGCAAAATCAGTACAATTGTCATCAATCTTCCTGCTAAACATCTTCCTTCTATTCCACTTGTTTCTGAGGAGATGTTCATTGAGTGAGTTTGATTAAAACAGGTACCTTTTTTATCATTTAAATACATTCAGTACAAGATGCTCTTATTTTACCAGTGCTTCCAGTGCAAAATGCCTTCCACAGGTGTCGCAAAGAAACAAATTTGGTGCGCCAGCCTCTGTGTTGAACAGGAAAAATTACTATTTATCGCTTAAGTATAAACAGTTTTCAAACATCTCTGTAAATCTAGTCTTAAGCATCCTTCCTAAGTCTAAAGGAAATAGATTAATAGTATCCAGAACTTATTTTATCTGTTATGAAGGAGTAACTGAATAGTATGCTCTAGCCGAGTTAAAAAAAAGTTCCAGTGCTCAATAAAACTTAATTCTAAATCATATAATGACTTAATACTGTTATGAATTGCATTGCAAGAACAGTCCATTTTATACCATGTTTTCCCAAAAATAAGACAGGGTCTTATTTTTTGACCCCCCCCCTGAAATAAGTGCTTGACCCCCAAAATAAGCGTGTGGCCTTATTTTTGGGAGGTCTTATTATTTTTGAGGTACAGGAGGTGGTGAGCGTGGTCACCTCATGGCTGCTGCTGTGTTGCAATATTTTCGGGGAGGGTTTATTTTCAGGGGGAGGGCTTATTTTAGTGCATGCACTCAAAAGCCCAATTGGGTTTATTATCCGGGGAGGTCTTATTTTCAAGGAAACAGGGTACTTTTTA